CACTAGCAGCCAAGCCTCCTCATCTCAATCTCGAGATGACACCACAGCAATTCAGGAAGTTCCGAATTGACTGGGATGTCTTTACCAAGATGACAAATATGCCAAACTCCCAAGCTAATATTCACCTATACAATTGTGCTGATGAGGCTGTGCAAAACGCCATAATCAACACACACCCTGACTTCTTTACCACTGATCCAGATAATCTACTTGACATGGTAGAAGTGTTGGTCACCCAGAGGTCAAGTCCTATTGTCCATCGCCTTGCTTTTGCCTCCATGTCTCAGGATGCTGATGAGCCAATACAAAGTTACCTTGTCCGCCTCAGAGCCGTAGCCGTTGATTGTAACTTTACCTGCCCCTCGTGTGAACATGACCTGTCTGATATATGCATCAAGGACCAGATCATCCGTGGAATAGCAAATGACACACTCCAGGCTGACCTACTGGCCAAAGCTGGGGCACTTAAATCCCTTGAACAAAATATCCGTCATTCTGAGGCATTTGAATCAGCATTGCGGGACCAAACCTCAATGGCCAGTGCTTCAGATACAGCTGCTGCTCGGCTATCAACATACCGCAGACAGAAGGGTACACCACAAGCCAACGAGGCGATCCGTACCAGCACCTATTGCAACTGCAATGTTAAACCAAACCACCAGGCTTGCTTAGGTTGTGGCAGCCACCAGCATGGCACCTCAGGAACTGAATCACGCCGGCTAAAATGCCCAGCATGGGGACAAACATGTAGTAATTGTGGGAAGCCCAATCACCTATCGAGGGTATGCCGGGCTAAGAAACCAGCTCAAGCGGTCAGGAAAAGCCTAGAGGCTAATGAAGCCGCCATGGACACACTTATCGCCCACATCACATTCAATCAAACGACAGGCACGTATACATCTAAAGACACAGGCCAGATAAGGGAAATTGATGCATATGTTGTTCCATTTTCGCCAAAACCGGATCCCAGACAAATTAAGAATATCCCCAGAAATCACAGCACTAGGATGACAATCTTTCCTGACAGTGGGGCCACCATATGTCTCGGGGGACTTAAGCACCTTCTGAATATGGGGCTCACTATCAACAACCTCATTCCATCAAGAAAAGTCGTCCGAGCTGTGGGAGGCTTTACGCTTGTATGTCAGGGTTGGCTCCCCGTGGAATTCATCGTCCAAGGAAGAACAACTAAACAAGCCCTATACATATGCAAAAAGATTCAGCGGCTATACTTCAGCAAAGCAGCCTGCATTGATGTAGGGATACTGTCCAAAGACTTCCCAAACCCAACAACTACAATATTACCTCAAACAACAATGCAACACATGCCCTCGACAAGCACACATAAAAAAATCGGACGTGAGCCCTAAACAATGCAAAGTCGAGGGACAACTTCCAACACGCCCCAAAAACTCCCTTTTCTCCCAACAGAACAAAACATTGATAGGCTCAAAAAATTGGCTATTAAATCAATTTGCCGAAACGGCGTTCAAGAACAATGGTGAATTCCACCGATGTCTGGCCCCACTGCACATATACACCTCAAAGAAGGAGCAGTCCCCAAAGCCAGACATAACCCAATTCCTGTGTTTTTTCACTTCAAAGAGCCCGTAAAACAGGCCCTTTGGGAAGATGTGAAAAGGGGTATCATAACCCCAGTACCCGTTGGCATGCCCACTGATTGGTGTAGCACTATGGTAATTACCGCCAAAAAAATGGCAAACCACGAAGAACCATAGACTACCAACACTTGAATTCACAGTGCAAACGGGAAACACACCATACAGGGTCACCATTCAGCTAGCACTACAAGTGCCACCTAAACAAAAAGAAAACAGTGTTGGATGCTGTTGATGGATATCATTCCATCCCCTTAGATAAAGAGTCCCAGCCACTCACCACCTTCATCACAGAATGGGGAAGGTTCATGTACCTGAGAATGCCACAAGGTTACCTAGCATCTGGCGATGCCTACACCCGAAGGTATGATGAAGTAATAAAAGACATCCCCGCAAAGTAAAAATCGTGGATGACACCCTACTCTATGACTCTGACATCGAAAGCCTTTTTTCACACCTTCGATTTTCTCCTCCATTGTGCAAAAAACGGCATCGTAATAAATAGAGAAAAATTCCAATTTTGCCAAGACACGGTGCAGTTTGGGGCCTCCAAATAACATCTTCTGGTGTAACCCCTTCTAAATCCATGCTGGAGGCAATATTGAGCTTCCCAATACCAAAAACACTCACCGATGCCAGATCATGGTTTGGGCTGGTCAACCAAGTTGCTTGGGCATACTCACTAAGCCCAGTCATGCTTCATTTCGTGATCTCGTAAAACGAGACTCACACTTTACATGGAATAAAAGCCTTGAGGATGCATTCCAGCAGTCAAAGAAGGTCATAGTTGACTTAGTCCGAAAAGGCATCGCAACATTTCAAAAAGAAAGAATAACCTGCCTTGCCCCAGATTGGAGCAAAGACGGAATGGGCTTCCTACTTCTGCAGAAGTATTGCTCATGCACCACTGACAAAGCCCCAGTTTGCTGCCCTGAAGGTTGGCGCCTGATATTTGCTGGTAGCAGATTCTGCATTGATGCTGAACGCAGATATGCACCTATTGAAGGCGAAGCAGCAGCAATTGCATGGGCATTGGAAAAATGTCGGATTTTTGTAATGGGTTGCCCGAATCTCATAGTGGTTACAGATCATGAACCACTAAAAGGATTATTCGGAGATAGAGACCTTAGTAAAATCCAAAACCCCTGATTATTCAGGTTAAAGGAGAAAACCCTCAGGTACAGATTCACCATTCAGCACTGCCCTGGGAAATGGCACAGAGCCTCCGATGCTGTCTCTCGTAACCCAGCAGACATCTCACAGGCACTCCTAAATGTATTCACTGCTGAACCCTCTCAATCAGACATCATAGAGTCTGACAACATGGATGACTGGGTCAAATCAACAACCTTATTAGCAACATTCGGTGCAAATGACAACCTGGAGCTCATCTCACCAGACGTTATCCGTACGGCGGGACGCAGCGACCCGCAATACAAAAAAATTAATTGAAGTAATACAAAACGGATTCCAAAGAACGCGCATCCTCACTGCACCTGAAATCCGCGAATATTGGGAAGTGAGGCACCGCCTAAGTGTTGACGACGGGTTAGTGCTCTTAGATCAAAAGAATTGTTATCCCCACCTCACAACGCGCAAAAAATATTACATAGCCTACATTCTGCACATCAAGGCGAAGTTGGCATGAAGGCACGTGCCAATGAATCTGTTTATTGGCCCGGGATGAATGCTTCAATTCGTAATATTAGAGCAGGTTGCACGTTCTGCTCAAAAATTGCCCCTGAGTCAACCAAAAGAGCCAATCAATTTGACACCATCTCCTGATTGGCCATTTCAGCAAATCGTCATGGACATCTTCCATGTTGGAAACCATGGTTACTTAGCATGCGCTGACAGGTTAACGGGCTGGCTGAATCTATACCACTTGAGCCACGGAGAAGCTAATGCCTCAAGGATTATTTCGATTTGCCGAGACATATTTCAAACCTATGGACTGGGCTGTTAAACAAAGGTTATCATCTGCTGGTTACCCACAATCCAATGGTCGAGCAGAGCTCGCTGTCAAAACAGCCAAAAGAATCATAAATGGCCCAAGGATCGTTGGATAATAACCGTGCAGCAAGAGCCATCCTCCAATACAGAAATACGCCTATTCAAAACATTGGGCTATCCCCTGCTCAACTACTACTCCACCGCCGACTACGTGACTACATACCATCCCACCCCACACTCTATAAGCCACACGCGAAGTGGATAACCGCAGCCCAAAATCGTGAGATAAGTCTGTCCCGGCGGAATGCTCGTCTCATAGAGAGATACAACAGAACAGCACACACCTTCAAAAAGGACAAATAGTGGCACTACAAAGACCAACAACCCGTCGATGGGACACAACAGGTCAGGTCATTGAAATCCTCCCCAACCACCAATACCGTATCAGAGTTGACGGATCAGGTAGAATTACCTTACGAAATCGCCGATTTCTCAGGAAACTGGATACACCAACAATTCCAGTTCCAAGACCTAGTGCCTTACCTGAGATCCCTACACCATTGCCACAAACATTCGACGCTGGAATACCATCAAACACTGCTCAGCCGTCTACAATAACACGGACAAAAACCCCTCGGGCATTGTCCAGACTACTTCCACACAACCAGCCAGGTTTAAAGGAACAAATCCCTCCCCAAAGGCCACTACCAACACGCGATGGGGGGGGGAAGGAGATGTAGAATAACAATACAATAAACGACACTTACCGGCGTAAGAGTTCCAGCTAGCGTCCAGCTGGCAGACAAAAATAAAGCAGGTTGTAACTTAATACAAACCCTGCAAACTAACTGAAATTAAGCTGGTATTTATATAGAAATACTTCCACTCAGGTACCAGCAGCCAATCAAAGCCCAAGCAATGGACTATCCCACTTTAGCATAATGAGATGCTCCATTGCACCATAAATAACTCTCTTCCTCAATGTTGAATCATTCTTTACTCAGCTTGCTCCACAACTGAGTGTTTATCTTGACCACGTGATTGTTCGAACAAGAGAATAAGGGAAGGAATGAAAGAAGGAATTAACAAAAAGGAGGGATGAAATAAACAATGAAAATAAAATCCGGAGTTAAATCGTTGCACATGAGAACAAGCGAATCGTGCTGAAGCAGAACAATGCGTTGACCAATTGATGACGAGAAAAAAAAAAAAAAACGAAGCAAAACAAAAACAAGAAAAATACAAGAAAATAAACACGAAAACAAAAACAAACGAAAACGCGAAAATGAAAACGCAAAAAAAAAAAAAAAAATGAAAGAAGTTAGGAAGTAAATTTAAAACAATAGTCAATCATTCACTCCATCTTTTTTTAAAAAAGTATCTTTTGTTTTTCTCTTCAAAGTTTTCCCATTTTTTCCTTTTATGCAGCGTCTTTTTTTTTATGAGATCCTCTCTTTTTTTTATCTTTTTCTTTTTATGTGTTTTCCTTTTCTTCAATTCGCTTTCATTTTTCCTTCTTTCAATCATTACTGTTTTCATTTTCTTTTTTATTGCTCCACTCCCCTTACCCCCGCCTCTGCTGCCTGTCTGTTCGCCTTTCTTCCTATTTTTCTTTTCTTCTTTCTCGTTTCCTTCCTGCTCTCTTTCCTGCCTCATTTCCTTTTACTATTCCTTCCTTCCCTTTTTTCACATCTTTTTACATATTTTCCTTTCTCTCTTTCCCTCTTTTTTCATCTTTACATCCCTTTCTTTCTTTCTTTCTTTCTTCGCTTCTTTCTCATCCTATATTCTCTTTCGATCACTATTTTTCCCTTTGCATTTTTTTTTCATTCGATTCCACTTTTTTCTCTTTTCTTTTTTTCTCTCAATCATTCCTCTTTGGTTGTCATTGCCTCTTCAGAGTTCGATCCTTACTAGGTGCATTACAAAAGCATGAGAAGAATTGTAGAAGGTTGCACTTGTGGTGCCGTGTCTGCGATGAAGTCACTCTAAACGGAAGAATTCAATTGAAAAGAGAAAGACATGAAGAACAACAAACAAACAATGCAAGACTTGCTTCTTTCATTCCTTAATATCTCAATCAGGATATTTGCATCACCTGGTGATTATCGACAAACAAGAAGAATTTGTCTGAGATATTCTTAAACATGCTGTACAACATTGATAAGGAAAGTTCGTGAGTTATGAGGTCAGAAAGAATTCTTCAGGAGGAAGATGGACGGAAGAAAAAGCAAGGAATTTCCGCTCAAATTTCCCCAAAATATTACTGCATGCAGCGTATACTTAAGAATACATTGGAAAGTGTGAATAAAATCAATACCAAGAATCTGGATGCTAACTCGAAAAAATCAAATAACAAAATTCAAGAATAAAGAATGATAAAAACTATTTTAGAATCAACAATAATAGATTCTCGTTTATTCTCTCCACAATGCAAACATAAGGTAAACATTTTTCATAGCAGCGATTGTATATTATTTTCGTTGCCTTTTCATTAAATTTTATCCCCCACATTTATACCTCCATTACAAGTTGGGTGGGCTTTCGAGCCAGTCAAGGTAGAAGATTACACTGAAAGGCATGAAGAGAAGATATGAAGAGATGTGAAGAGAAGGTTGTAGGAAGTGAAGATTATGAGGATAAGGAGGATAGATAAAGATTAACCATTACCTTGACGAAGTTAAGATTGAAGTGTTCACGGAAGTACCACATTGTTTCATTCATTGCATTTATTGGCTAAAGGTCGCCTGAAAACAAATTTCTTCTTACCTTTGAAACAAGGAGATAGCGTGAATCCATCTGTAGGAGTAGCATGGCGAGTCCTACTTGTAAAGTTTTGAAGTCGTGGAACAAACGTTAGGGCATGTCCTGATGTCTGCATTTATACCTCATGCAGAAACCTGCTATGATAAACAAACCAAAATAATTCGAATCATATTCTTGTTTAAATGGGGAGAGGGATTTACATGAATATATTAATAACTGAACGACAACATTATTCAAATAAGGAAGAATACCGAGGAGAGTTGTGGAGTATATCCAGGGAAACTCGTTAGTCGTTACGGCTATTAAATTCAGGGAGGTAAAATCTGTATATTGAAAATTTAACATTCTTTTCAAATAAAATAGAATAAAATTGTCCTCGTATTCTCTCTCTCTCTCTCTCTCTCTCTATATATATATATATATATATATATATATATATATATATATATATATAATCACATATAGTGCTGGTGTTAATAAAACAGTGCTTGGTGTAATATAACAGACCTCTTAAGTATATATTAATAAATATACAGTTAAAGATCATAAGGCAAATTTTCGAAACAACCCCCAATACCGACTTCTCAACCAAATAATATTGGTATAATTAGCAAGAATATCCTTCAAAGAGCATATAATGCACCAAAAATCCTCTGGGGATTAACCAGTGAACAAAATATCGCAAACCATAGAATGCTTTACGAATATAAAAAGGAAAAAGTAAAGGTACAGTCATCCAATTCGATATTTGTGACCTTTACCCGTCCATTACAGAGAATCTGCTAATGTCGGGTAATAATCTAGCAATAAATTATTTTCCTATTAGCGGTCGCGAAATTAATATCATAAAGCAGACACAAAAATGTATAATTTTCCGTAATGATTATTTGTGGACTAAAAAAATTTAATGTAGCCATGAGAGCTTATGATTTAGCGGAGGCATGCGATTTAGTTGGAATTCTATTATTATGGCGACTTAGATTTATTTTAGGCATTAAGTACTCTATAGATGTGACGGTGTAATTCTCCTCGGTAAAATTAGTCCACGAAATATAGAACGATTGAGAAAAGGATTGGAATTTTTTTTAAAAGATCACGAACTAAATATTGTCACCAACACCAATGCAAAAGTGATCAACTTTCTCGATGTAATCTTAGAACAGTGGTTTTTATAAACCATAGCCAGATGATCTATATAAGCATAGATACTTTAGTAAACAATCAAATCACCACCATAAAATTCTAGATAATTTAAGTAAATATGTCCAAGTTAGATTATCCACATATTCCACCAATAAGGAAATATTTAACAGATCTAAAGGTAAATATATACCAGCTTTATAAACTAAGCCATCATAAAGTAAAATGTAGATTATTTAGAAATAAACGAAAAAAGGTAGAAACACCGTAAACGCAACATTCGATGGTTTAATCCATTTTAATCCACGTTTTAACCGTGATGTCAAAACTAATATCGGAAGATTTTTAAAAAATTTAATCCATAAACACTTCAACCATTCACCAATACCAAAAAAGATTTTTACTAAAAAACAATGTTAAGATCAGCTATAGCTGGGTTAATAACAAATCAATCTTTCAACATTACATCATTATATAAGACAATATAAATTCTTCTAAAAATAAATGCAACTGTCATGGAAATGCAATTTATCCCTTAAGCGATCAATGTATGACCGATAACATCGAACAAACATACATTCCGGTAATGATGTTAAATTTTATTTTAGTTCCACAGAAATCCTTGGAAATTTCGTTTTTACCATCACAGAATGACCTTGTTTAAAATACAAAAACAGCATTGCTCCCCAAATATTTCTGACAATTAAAGAATGATGGCATCTCACCATCAATGAACTAGGAAATTTTAGGGCTGAAGCTTAAAAGTACTAAATGCAATTAATGTCTTGTTGAAAAACTGGTTATCTTAAAACACTTAAATAACCTTAACTTATTAAACAAGAGAAATGAATTGATGATTCCATGTAGGCCTAAAAATAAATATCTGCTTAAATACTTTGATCCAGATCAATTATTTTGTTTCTTTAAATTTAGAATTTTTAAATCAATTATATTTATATTTATTTAATTTTTTATTTTAATTTTAATTTTTAATATTTATTTTAATTTTTAACTTTTACTTTCAATTTTTAATTAATTTTTAATTGTTATTTTAATGCTAATTACGGTCTATTTTTAATATATTACTATTAAATATACATTCATATTTTAATAATAACAATTCATCTCCCTTTAATTATATAATTAAAAAATATGAATATTCTCCAATCAAATATATAAGTTTTTAATTTTCTTTCTTACAAGCATATATAAATCACGCTTATTTAAATTGCCAAATATAAATTTCAAATTTTAAATTAAAAAAAAAAATGTAATACAGCTATATATATAACTACGATAACATTGTGATAACCAAATATATTATATCAATTCATACTCGGCACCTGAAGATTGCGTCGTGCATGAAACTCGTGTTAGCGGCAAGGGATCATATTCATATATATATATATATATATATATATATATATATATATATATATATATATATATGAAGTAATGTCTAAGATATTATTTGTATATTTCTATGTTTTTTATTAGTTAACATTTAGAATCAGAGTAAAATTTTGTAAATTACAAGATTTTTGGTTACTTCTGTATCTTTTCTTTGCTTGTTATTGAATAGCTTTTGTATTTTTACTTGTCTAAATTTCCAACCTAGTTGGTGTAAATGGCTTCAGTGTGCGAATCCACAGTCGTCTTTGGTCGCATCACTTGAAAGAGTTTTTGTGGCCTCTGCCCCCATCTTGTTTCTTTTTTGTCTCTTGCTCTGGTCAGATGACATCAAGTATAAGTGGCGATGTGTGTAGGTGAGAACTATTTTCTATTTTTCCTGTTATGTGGTAATGGGTGTGTATATTCAGGAATATGCAAGAATATAAAATGAAAAATGATAATAATAATATAGCTAGCATAAAAGAATTGATGATAAAACTGGGACCATACGAGTAATGGCGATATTATCTGTGACTCTAGGGGGATCAGAAGGTGTATAATGATAGTAATATCTATAAAACATAGAAGTAGTAATGTAAAAGAGCGAAGTAATGTAGAAAGTAGTAATGTAAAAGAGCGAAGTAAAAAGAGGAATATGCAGACATGTATATATGTATATACAATCAAAAAATACTAATAGAAATTGTTGTGTCTGGGAAAACGCAACACTTAACTCGACAAAGATAGCAGTATTCAGTTCTCAGATAAACAAGTCAATGCAATATTAATATCTTTTTTTTCCTTTCTAGACAATTACCCAGGACTACTTATCATGAATGGATCAGTCCATTCATGAAAATAAGCAGGGTAACTGGATTTTACTACAACATCTCTTTTGAGAATTACCTTAGATGTTATACTTTTTTCTTTTTGCCTTAACATCCAACACTTCTGTAGGCTGTCACTTTCTTTTACTGAAGTGTGTGGTTTCCGGTCCTATTTGGGGCATACGTACATCGAAAACGTCATACAGAAACATGATCGGCTCCTCCTCTTGCATACTTTGTTCAGACGAGTACATTTTTCTTTTTATGCACCCATATAAATGCTTTTATAATGTATAATAACTTTCCAATATGTCTCTTGATTACCCCATCTTCCCAGCATTCCTTTCCATTTTTGTAATATCAAAAGAATACTTTTTCACCGTTTTTGAAGTATTTCTGGGTATTTGATTTTTCCCACTTTGTCAACCACCGATCTAATTTTTCTTGCAAACATTAGTTCTGCTAAGAACATACCTAATACAATGTTAGGATTACATGTCACTTGACATACACGTAAAAACTGCCGTAATAACATATCCTTAGTTTCACTTCCGTTAGTTTTTGTAATGTCCATATAAATGTATCAACAAAGCATTCTACTTGCCCATTCGATCTTAGATGGCAGGAGTAGTTTTCATGTGCTGCATTACAAAGGTTTTACAAAAACTTTCAAACTCTTTAACAGTGCTATTCGGGATACTAGCAAAAAAGAATTCATGCAAGAAATTTATTTTAGTTGCAGATGTTGGACTCTTGCATTTTAAAATTTCTATTTTGAAAATCTGTCTACAA